TGTCTGTCCGCTGCAGCCTCTGGACTCTCCACGGCAGATCCCAGTTGAGAGCGGGTGTGAGTTGTGGAAGAGCCAGTGGGTACCTGGTGTGCTTGTAGGCCCTTGTCAGTACCTCAGTGGAGAGGAGTCATCCCATAAGTCACTTTTAGCTCTCCTCTCTCTGCAGGCTCACTAATACTTTGCAAGATGAAGCTAATGGAATATTCAGGATTAGTACTGGTAGAACACGTTTATGCCTCTCTTGCAAAGATGCCAAAAGTCTGCAGTTCTTGAGATTAAACATTTTGTTGTCTTCGATTTCATTTTAAGCAGATTATATCTTCTTGACTTTTAGAAAATAGATATATATTGTGAACAGATATTGTATATATTAAATATATGATATATAAGTTTTATATATATATATATATACATATATATGTATAAAATTTTATTTGTGCCCCATTTTGCCTGGGTATTTTAGAAAACATATATATTCTGAACAGATCTGTTTTCTAAAATTCCCAGGCAAAATGGAGCACCAATTTATAATACATGATATATGATATACATATGATATATGATATATATAGCTATATATATGTGATATATATAGCTTATGTATATAGCTTATATATATCATATGTCATATGTATATCATATATACAGTTTATATAGAGAGATTATATATATCATATATATGATATATATATGTTACATATATGATATATATATATATATATATATATAATTTTGTTATTTGTGCTCTATTTTGCCTGGGAGTTTTAAAAAACAGATCTATATTATGAACAGATATTATATATACTTAAATATATGATATGTAAATTATACATATGTACATTATTATGTTATTTGTCCTCCATTTTGCCTAGGAGTTTTAGAAAACAGATATTATGAACAGATATTATATATATTAAATGTATGATATGTAAATTATATATATATACATATATGTATAAAATTTTGTTATTTTGCTCCATTTTTCTGGGTAGTTTAGAAGTCTTCTGAGCCTTTCTGCAATTATAAAACAAGAATAAAATTTTGAAGAAATGCTTAGGCCCATAATGGCATGGAAAAGATTGTCATCTATAAAAGCACCACACAAAAGAATACTGTACATTCTTTGGGGGTGCCCCCTGTACCTAGGGTGCTCATATAAATCCAACATTTCAAAAATATATATAAAGAAATCCAAAATTTCTCTTACAGTCAAAATATGGGGGAAAAGAATAAATGGCTGAAAAGTGAAATTGAGTGGAAATGGCTTTCACCGAAAAGCAGAGTGGTTCAGGAATTCAACAGGTATCTTTTCAGGGTGTCTTGTCCATGCCGTCTTCCTCATAAATCATCAGAATGTTCCTGAAAGGCCAACACTTTGCAGCCTAGAGTATGTGTCCCAGTTCGCCTCCACCTGCCCTAAGGTTATTATGTTTGAAAATGGGCAGGTGATAATAATATTCCGTCCTGATCCAAGAGGTTGCCAGTGAAGCTGGCAAACACAAAGTGCCTTTTGTCTAAAGTGTGGTACAGATATGAGCTATTACTTATTCAGTGTATGGCTTGATTTGGCCGTGATATATGTATATATACATATACACATATATGTACATATATAAAGGGCGATTTGGAACTTTTCGCTTGATGTTTAGTGTGCTCCCTCAGTGACACAAATGGACCACAAAATGAAGATTACTTTCACAGTAAGTTTAATACCAAGAAGTTGCGTCGATGTCCTATGTTCTACCTTGGGGTTTTAAAATTGTTTCTATGAATGTCTACATATTATTAAGTAGCTTTCATTATTATTAAATTCTTTGAGCTACTAATACCCTCCCCATTCTTCTCTCAAGCACGCTTTCAAAATAAAATTTTATTTCCCTTAAAATCTTCAGTTTTCAAGTAATAAGCATTTGTAAGAGAGGAATGCACTTAGTTACACATATTTACTACTATGAAATTGCTTTCTATTGGAGCGAATTATCTACAGGTTCTAATAAGTTTCTTTAAACTCATCCCTTAATTAAATCACAAATGAAGGCACTGACTGGATAATTTTTTTAATATTTATTTTAATTTATTTTTTGGGAGAGGGAGAGAACGAGAGTGAGTGGGGGAGAGGGGTAAAGGGAAAGAGAGAGAGAATCGTAAGCAGGCTCCACGCTCTGTGTGGAGCTGGACGTGGGGCTCCATTCCATGACCCTGGGATCACAACCTGAGCCGAAATCAATAGTTGGACATCCACCGTCTGAGCCACCCAGGTGCTCCCAGACTGGATAACTTAAAAAAAAAATTGTGTGTGTGTGTGTGTGTGTGTGTGAGCTTAGAGCACATTGAAGGAGATTTTCTCCCTCTGACTGATATTTCTATCAAATATAAACATAGTTATTTTCTAGTGTCAGTGGATAGTAAGAAAGAATGCACTTTTACTTCAAGCACTGAAACTAGTTGTCCCCATTTTCTTTGAAACTTTGGAAAGTAAAGACGTCATAGAAAGGAAGGGGGTATTGATACAGGGTACAACTTAGATGAACCTTGAAAACATTGTGCTAACTGAAAGAAGCCAGACCCAAAAGGTCACATGTTATGTGATTCCAGCTATATGAAAATCCGGAATAGTAAATCCATCCAGACAGAAAGCAGATTGGTGGTTGTCAGGGGCTGGGGAGAGGGGACAGCAGGGAGTGACGGCTTAATGGGCACCACGTCACCCTCGGGGATGGTGAAAATATTTTGGAACCAGACAGAGCTGATCGTTGTACAGCTATTTTGACTACCAGCCGCCACTGAATCACACACTTTAAAATGGTTAATTTTATGTGATGTGAATTTCACCTCAATAAAAAGTAATAAAGCTGTTAAAAAAGAATAAAGGTATCATAAAGTACCACATACAAAAAGCACATTTTCCGCAAGGATATAAATCAAGAGCCCTTTATTGTACATTCTCTCCAATCCAGAGTGACGGGAGCTTTTCAACCAGTTGCTGTCCTTGTGGAGTGGAGGCATTTCCTTGTCTATCTGCCCCCAACTGTTGTCATTCCGTCTCTGCAATGTCATCCCTGTGGGGCTCCCCCTGTCCTTTCCCGCTCCCTCTGCTCCCTCCTTTCCAGAAGCTCTTGCCTCTTGGCTCTGCTGCTGCTCAGCCCTTCCCATCTGCTCTTCTTCCTGGCATCAAGCAAGTCTTCTGAGTTCAAACCTCGGTCAAATCCAGGCACTCCTGGGACCGTAGACCTTCGATGGCATGCCACGAGAGCAAGGATGTCCCTGCTCCCTAGACCGCATGCGGGGCCATCTTTCAAAGTTCATCCAGTGCTCAGGGACTTCCTGTCTCCCAGGGCTGTCTTAATGCAAATAGTGGCCTATTTGCCCAAGTTGTGGGGAGGAAGGCTTTCCCCACTCCAGCCCTTTCCTTTCTGCCCCCTTCTCTCCCTGCCTTGGTGAGCTGTTCCCACCTGGCTTTTGAGACCCCACATCTTGAAATTCAGTGACTCTTCCCTGAGGCCTCCCATTAGCAGGGCACCCTCACTCCCTCCTCTAAATCCTCAGGATACTTTGCCGTATCCCCTGCCTGCCCTTTTCACGGTCTGCCTTACATTATAGTAGAGGGTTAGCGGTCTGTCCAGAACCACCCACCTTGTGAGCTGTGGAACTAGGATGTAAATCTTGACTTTGCCTGCTTCAAAGATTGTGCTGTGAGCAAATCTCCAGTGGCCTCCTTCCTATGGATTGTGGACCTCTCCAACATCTCTCTCCCCCTACACCATCCCCCCAGGCCCTTTGCCAGTGTGCATAGTAGGTTGCTGATAAGTACGCCTGGAATGTGCAGAACTGTTCCTCTCCACAAAGTTACTTTTTAAAGGGACTGTCCAGTTGACTCTTTTTTTTTTTTTTTTTTTTTTAATTTTTTTTTTCAACGTTTATTTATTTTTGGGACAGAGAGAGACAGAGCATGAACGGGGGAGGGGCAGAGAGAGAGGGAGACACAGAATCGGAAACAGGCTCCAGGCTCTGAGCCATCAGCCCAGAGCCTGACGCGGGGCTCGAACTCACGGACCGCGAGATCGTGACCTGGCTGAAGTCGGACGCTTAACCGACTGCGCCACCCAGGCGCCCCTCCAGTTGACTCTTTTGAAAGAGGTAAAGCATAAAAAAAGATGCGATAGTACTTAACCTGTTTTCTGCCATTTTGAATGTGGCTTTTATCTCCCCTCTAAACACACACATTGGCTGGAATCACGGTAGCCCCATCTCCTTTCTCATCATTTCCATGGACCTTTTTCTGATCTTTTCTTCCTCAAATTGATAGTATTTATATCTGTGTCACTAATTTTGAGCCCAATTATATATGATTTGTGTGGTTTCTTGAAACGATTTCTTCAGTTTGATGCATTTCCGTAATGCCAGTGGTCCAATGGTACCAGTTCCGTGCATTTTGATGAATGGAAAAAAAAATAGCATGAAAATCCCTTCTTGGTATGATGATAAACAGGTTTTTTTTTTAAGACACCATTTGAATCACTTGGGCTTCTTTGTCTTTCTTTTCGTCCTGCCAGTCTAGCTCTTCGATAAGCCAGCATTCAAGTTGGTTGAAAATTAACTTCAAATACCAAGTTTTAAAGAAATGCCAAATTATGTGAAAGATCATACTATTATTGTAATTTGAATTTTAAAAAGGGGTAGGGAGAGGGAGAGTGGGACTCTAGAAATTAGGTTTTTAAAAATCCAACTCTATTTAAGGAGTTTTCAGTACCTTTGCCAGATGGTCAACTTGTTAGGGAGAAAAGGTAAAAATTACCATGACAGGGTATCTTGTGTTTGGTTTTGTTTTGTTTTGTTTCATTTTTGGGTTTGTTTCTGGTTTTTGTTTTAGGGAGCCGGAAAAGTGTCTCTCTACCTGCTTCGAGTGACAGCGTGACTGTCTTGAGAACATCTGGGTGAACAACTAGAAGGAAGAGTCCAATATTGACCTTTCCCTTTCTCTTCCTCTCTTCCCTCTGCAGGTTACCTACCTGGGTAAAGTCCCCACCACAGGCATGCAGTTCCTGTCAGGCTGCACAGAAAAGCCAGTCATCGAGCTCTGGAAGAAACACACGCTAGCCCGAGAAGATGTCTTTCCCGCCAACGCCCTCCTGGAAATCCGACCATTCCAAGTGTGGCTCCATCACCTCGACCACAAAGGTGAAGCCACGGTCCACATGGATACCTTCCAGGTGGCGCGCATTGCCTACTGCACCGCCGACCACAACGTGAGCCCCAACATCTTCGCCTGGGTTTACAGGGAGATCAATGACGACCTGTCCTACCAAATGGACTGCCATGCTGTCGAGTGCGAGAGCAAGCTCGAGGCCAAGAAGCTGGCCCACGCCATGATGGAGGCCTTCAAGAAGACTTTCCACAGTATGAAGAGCGATGGTCGGATCCATAGGAACAGCTCATCGGAAGAAGTTTCCCAGGAATTGGAATCCGATGACGGCTGAATGGACTTAGCATGCTTCGGCAAGGCAGCACTGGTCGAGGAATTCAAGATGATAGATGAATAAGCAACGATTCAAATTTGGGAAGTAAAGACTGCCACGCTATTGGCTGACCAAGCTTTTTTAAATTCAGAAGAGCAATTCTAAATCTAAAGAAATGTATTATTAAAGTAATTACGTTACATTGAAATCTGCTGCTGCTGTGACTGTGGGGAGGGTGGGCGTGCAGACGGGGAGGAAAGTTCTAGACTCTCTTCCTCCCCCCACCCCTCATTTCCCAATGCCTCCCTGTAGGAGCTCTCCATGCCGGTTGTCACCACTCTCAGGCAAATACACTGCGGCTGTTATTTGATGAGCCATTCCAGTTTGCCTTACGGACCCCAGCCAGAATGTTCGGTGCCCCTGGAGGATCCCTAGTCGTGGGTGGGGGGGGGGTGGGGGGTACAGATGCAGGCACAGAGGCCGCAGAGCCAAGGGAACACTCCAGGCTCATCCTGAGAGCCCCTCTCCCTGGCATGGTTCAGATTCTCTCCTCAGTAAGCGAATCAGCACAGCCTTTATTTAGCTTTACAACTAACAACCTGGTAGCTGGTAGTTGATTCAGTTAAAGATAATGCTTTTATTTACATAAATATATCAAGTAGTACCCTCTTATTGTATTCACTTCATCTATTTTCTTGGAATACTCACAACTGCTAATAGCTGCCTTCCTTATCCCTCCTCATCCACCCTCTTTCCCCTTCCAACCCAGCCTACGTCCCTAAGGGATGGATTCTCAGCATACACTGCAGGACACAAAAAGGGAAGAAAATAACCAAGCATCTGAAATAACCAGTCGAGCAAAGTGGGAGTTTAAAAACAACCACCACGACCACAGAAACTTTGGAAAAAGGGAACGAGTTATCAGCAAGTGAGCAAAAACTCCACGCGGGCTGTCCTTTTTTCAGGTCTGATTTACAGTAACTTGTTTAGTTAATGGTCCTGCCTGAGGAATCCTTCCCGGCAAGCTTCAGATCTGATCGGGCGTCGCCAAGGAAGCCTTGCCGCCTTCACTCAATGTTGTACTCGAATAGAGAATGTGTTGTGTACAACTGGCTTGTCTAGACAAACTGTGTCCGTCTTCATCTAAAAGGAAATCTGACCTTGTCATCTTCAAATTGGTGAGACCTTAGAGTCAGAGTTTCCAGTCTGTTCACTGTTTTCTAATGAGAGATTCTCACCGAGAGAGCCTGAGGTTTCTCAGTTCCGGGGCTCTTTAAATATCATAAACACAAAGTCAACACTGAATGAAATTGAAAAGCGTTGGTTAAAATGCATACGTTTAAAGCCGGGAGCAGATGGCTAGTGTTCCAGGTAATGCTGCTCCTTGATTAAAGTCTGTTTTTCATCCTGGTAATTAATGTTAGGGGACACTGGGGGACCTTACAGAAGCCTTAAATGAGAGCTCATTGAATCCAGAGAGTAATGGGGTCGATGTTTTGGTCTGTGTATCTGCGTGTCCGTGTACGCGTTTGTGTGTGTGTGTACGTGTGCCCCGGTGTGTGGGTTCAGTTTTAAGGCATGTAGAATAAGCATGGAGTCGTATTGAGAAGAACTTGCCTCTTGGAGATATTGCTTGCTGCTCTACAGCACATGTAAACTATTCTTTAGCGTAAATGCGTTCATTCTTTAATAAAAAATATGTTTGCATTAATAAAGCTGAGGACTTTCATACTCTGTATGTCTTTCCTTTTTTAAGTAATGAAAACCCCAAGGACGAAATAGGCCACATCGAGTAAATAGGGAATCCTCTCTAAGAAACATGCAGCCTTGGTCCTAAAGAACCCATTCCTTGATGGTGTTGAACAAATCTTGTTTGACTGTCTAATGCTCAACTTATATTGAATTACTGCCCCTTCGCTGAGATGGTATCACGGCATGTAGTTATTCAGTGTGGTGGACTTATTTCAGAGGAGAGGCTTCTAGAACGTTCTGCAAGTGACTGCTATTTATAAAACCTTGTGTAATAGCTTTGGGGACTCCGTTCCGGAATCCTGGAAGGTAAATGCGGAGCGATTCCCTCCCATGGCACTGGTTACAAATGCTTCCTGCAGGCCATGATTTCTCAGAACGACCCCATTAATCTCGCAAGGCAGGTGGCCCGTGGAGCCACTGTGTGTGTTGAACAATGCCCTTCATGGAATCAGGAACCAACATAAAGCCTTCTGAAGTGAAAACATGAGAGCCTGCTGAAGAGGTGCACTCGAGTAAGAATCACCACCCATCTCTGACTCAAATGGCATTTTCCCTCATTGACCTTTTTTGAATTTCAGTTTCGCTACCTTGTCCTTGAAGGTGCTTCTAAGATGGGGGGGGAGGGGGTGGAAAGAAAGGAAGGAAGAAAGAACCCAGCCAGCATATATTTCAAAACAGTGCCATTTCCATCTCACAGAAGTTAAATCCCAAGTGCACATATGGGTATTTATTGCAGAAAGCGTTTGCTGATTTTTTTCCAGGGTACTGAGTGTGACAGGCTAATTGGCTCTGATAATGTTGCCATGAGCTTTTGCTTGAGATGATTAGTAAGCAATTTCAAGATAAATACACAACGACATCTTTCAAATAGCTAATGAGGTCTTTGGGGACAACTAGGATTCATTCGCCCCAGAGGGGTGATTCAGACGTGCATTTTTTTTTTCTTCATGGCTTTGGTTTCTCCCTTTCTATACTATACTTTCTATACTAGTGGTCACAAAGCACTTTCGTGTATGCTAACTCCTATGCCCCTCAGAAGGATCCAGTAGGGGGTTCCTTATCTCCTTAACTTTAGAGATGAGGAAACTGAGGTTCAGAGAGGTTGCACAAGTCAGCCAAGGCGACACAGCTAGGGTGGATTTGATGGAGACTTTGAACTCTCTGACTTCTAGGCCAGGGCTATTGCTTTGTTTAGGCAAGGTCCATTGCTTTTGAATTTTTTATTTCCATTCTCCTTAAATCCTCTAGTCTGTTTTAAACTGGTATTCTAAGCCACTATAAATAAACATCCTTTGGTATTCATTTCCAAGTACTTTTGATAGCAATAGAAAAAGTTTTAAAAGCAAACAAAGGCCCAGGAAGTTTTATCTGAGCACAAATAGCATAATGTGAGATTTTACTTAAGTATTTTATTGGCTGTGGTCAATGGACAAAATACCCTCTCCACCCCTACAGAACCAAGATGCCTGGTTTATTTTGTTTTTCTCCGGACACATTAAAACTCTGAGTCAAATCCTTCTGCGGCAGGATTCTAAAACAACACGGATTTGCTGTTCATTCAATGCGTTTTCAATTCTATATTTATTTGTATGATTATATAAAGTATCTGTTCAAGCCTCTGGGGTGTAAGTGTCATTAAGATGGGGATTTTGTCCGTTTTGTTCACATTTTATCTCCAGCCGCAGGTTACAGAATTCTTGTCATGCATTTGTGTCTGTTTACTTCTGTTGCTGAAAACAAAGAGGGCGGGTATTAGGGGAGGGCATTTTTATTTTTCCAACAGTAGGAAGCATATGAGTGTAACTGAGTTTTCCCCAAATTTATACTTCAGGAAACATTTTTTCTTTGCCTTCTCTCTTACCTTTTTCCACTTTTTACCCCCTCTTCCCCTCCATCCTTTTCAACTTTGATATTTAATTATTTACACAACACCACTCCAGACATCCTCTGATTTTAGCAGAAAGAGAATACACGCTCTGAATCTGAGATCATGTTTTAGTTCATGATGCGCTGATGTAGAATTTGACCACATTGTCAAACACTTCAGATCATCCTAGATTGTTCTTATTTACTATTATTTTTCAGTCAGAAGGGACATGACAATTTAATTCTCCATAGCTTACTATTTCTTAGGCATTCCAAAAAGGTGTGATATAGCTTCTCATCTCCTAGACTGAACTGGGGTGAGGGAGAAGGTTCCCTTAATTGCCCAATTCTTATTTATCTTCGAGAAACTTTCCTTTTAGACGCCAAGATTGGGCTTTTAGAGTAATTTTATGGGATGCAATTGTTCAGCTTGAGAACTCTTGCTTCTTTTGAGGAGGTACCAGCTGATAATAGTTACCAGAAGAGAACCGAGTATGGTGCATAAGTTCAAGCTTAGAAAGAAAAACAACTGAATGGGTAAGAGCAAATTGCCAAGAGGAAGAAAAATCTAAACCATCTTATTTTGGACATTTACAAATAAACTGCGATATATTTTTTTAGTGAATCTAAGACATAGTCTTGTACACTTGAGCGAGGCTGACATTTGCAAAGAGATTTGGGGAGAATGTTTCTTTTGGAATGACTTAGTAAGATTATTTTGGGTTTTGCTTAGGTACCCAGAATTGGTTATTCAAAAATAACCTGAATAGTTTTTGCTTAGGAAATCCATGGCTTCCATTTAAAAACGTTTTTTAAGTTCCTACTGAGTTTTCAGTAGCTTAGGGGCTACTCTAAGAAGCTACTAAGGTGATCTGAAAATGGAATTACTGAAGTATGACACATTTTTAAGCCCTTCATAACATTACTGATAATCATCAATATTTTCATGTCCATAAAGTCACTTAACAACTATTAATAAAAAATGTCTCATCTTTTTATCGAAAAATACATACTGGACTAAGGTTGGGCCATTTAAAAATATTATGAGATTTGTAAAATCATGACGCTACATGAGACCTGCTGATTTCAATCTCATCATGGGGTGGTGGTTGCCATTCCAGAACGTTCTTTGTCCTCTGGGGACAAAGCTTCAGAGAACCATTTAAGGAAACACCCACTTGCAAGAAGGAGCCAAGAACTGATTCCATTCCAGGGTCCCTTTTTAATGTAAATTTGGGATCAACCAAGACCAAAATTCATCACAGATACTGAATCCTATTCTACACAGGCAACAAAATCTGATGATAAATGTTGTTATGTTCATAATTGGATCATCTTCATGCTGATGCTATTATGGGCAGAAGAAGATTTTAATTGGAGGGCTGAGGATGGAATTAGACCTT